GCAGCGCCCCAACCCCCTGATTGGCCCTGCTCTGTGGGTGATAGAGGGTGGCGCCCCAACCCCCTGATCCGCCCTGCTCTGTGTGTGACAGGGGGCGGTGCCCCAACTCCCCTATTGGCCCTGCTCTGTTCGTGACAGGGGGGAGCTCCTCAACCCCCTGATCCGCCCTGCTCTGTGTGTGACAGGGGGGAGCTCCTCAACCCCCTGACCGGCCCTGCTCTGTGTGTGACAGGGTACGGAGTCCTAACCCCCCTGATGGGCCCTCCTCTGTGCATGACAGGTGGCAGAGCCCCAACCCCCTGATTGGCCCTGCTCTGTGCGTCACAGGGGGTGGTGCCACAACTTCCCTATCGACTCTGCCTTGAGTGTGACAGGGGGCGGTGTCCCAACCCCCCAAATTGGCTCTACCCTGAGCATGACTAGGGGGTGGCATCGCAACCTCCCGATCCACCCTGCTCTGTGCATGACGGGGCGGCACCCCAACTCCCCAATCGGTCCTGCTCTGAGCCCGACCAGGGGCTGCACCTAGGGATTGGGCCTGCCCTCTTCCACCCGGGAGCAGGACTAAGCCAGCAGGTCATTATCTTCTGAGGGGTCCCAGACTGCGAGAGGGCACAGGATAGGGCTAAGGGACCCCCTCTCCCCCCCGAGTGCACAAATTTTTTGTTGCACCAGGCCTCTAGTAGGGATATAAAAGCCTAATATGCTAAGTGTCTGTTCGTCCCAGTTGGCTGTTCAACCAATCAACAGTGTAATATGCTAATGATATGCTAAAGCTGCTCAACTGCTCACTATGACGTGCACTGACCACCAAGGGGCAGACATTCGACTGGTCAACCAGTCACTATGATGTGCGCTGACCACCAGAGGGAAGATGCTCTGACCGGTAGGTGAGCTTGCTGCTGAGGTCCAGCCGATTGGGACTGAGATGGGCTGGACATGCCCTGGAGCTCTCCCATGGTCCCTCCTGGCTGGCGAACCTCCTGTGTCCCTCCCCAGCCCCAATTGTCACTGGTGGGGTCCCTTAGCCTGGCCTGCACCCTCTCACAATCCGGGATCCCTCAGGGGATGTCAGAGAGTTGGTTTTGGCCTGATCCCGCAGGCCAGGCCGAGGGACCCCCTGGTGCATGAATTCGTGCACCGGGCCTCAAGTGTATTCATAAAAAAGGTAGGAAAAATAGCATGACAATGGAAGTGAAGCCCAAGGAAGAGATGGAGAGCAGAGTTTCTCAAACAGATACAGGGAGTGCCTGCGCCAAAGCCCACTGAAAGGTGCAGGCCACCCAGACTGCTTGAATCCAGTATTGGCAATAAAGCCTGGGAACCTGAATTTTAATTTTATTTTTATAAAATATATTTTTATTGATTTCAGAGAGGAAGGGAGAGAGAGAGAGAGATAGGAACATCGATGATGAGAGAGAATCATTGATCAGCTGTCTCCGGCACACGCTTCACTGGGAATGAAGCCTGCAACCTGGGCATGTGCCCTGACTGGGAATCAAACCATGACCTCCTGGTTCATAGGTCAATGCTCAGCCACTGAGCCATGCCAGCTGGGCGGGAGTCTGCATTTTTTAAAAAATATATTTTATTGATTTTAGAGAGGAAGGGAGAGGGAGAGAGAGATAGAAACATCAATGATGAGAGAGAATTATTGATCGACTGCCTCCTATAATGGGGATCGAGCCTGCAACGTGGGCATGTGCCCTTGACCAGAATCAAGCCAGGACCCTTCAGTTCGCAGGCCAACGTTCTATCCACTAAGCCAAACCAGCTAGGGCAAGTCTGCATTTTTAATAATCTCCTCTGGTAAGTCTTGTGGTACTCATGTTGGAGAGCATTAATATAGGCACTTGGATAAGGTCAGCAGGAGTAGATGAACTACTTCAAAGGCTGATGAAGACCCCAGCAGATGTGTTCTCATAGGCATTGCAGATAACCTTAGAGATATTTTTGAGTATGGAGAGAAGGCAAGCGATGTGTAAATAGTGCCCCAGTTTCAAACATGAGAAAAGGGTAGATGCCAGAAACCGCAGCCTTATAAGCCTGACATGACCTTTGGAAAAATCTTGTTCCAAACAGTTGAAGTCAAAAAGCATTCAGAGGAAAATGTGATGTTCACTAGGCATCATCGTGGATTCACTAAAACATTGTCTCTATTAGAGATTGTCAAACTTTGCTGCATATTAGAATCATCTGGGGAGCTTTAAAAAATCCAGATTCCCAACTCCACCCAAGGGGACCCAGGCACCAGTTTTTTAAGCCCCCAGAGATTCTGATTTAATAAGATGCTGTCTGATCAATGAGAGTTTGAAAGCTCCCCAGGTGATAACTAAAATGCAACGAAGTTTGATAACCATTTTGTCTATATGATAATTATGCAAGATGCTTAACTTCCTTGTACTTTCTGTCAATTCTAGGTAATTTTAAAGGTCTCTCCCACCTTTACACATCTATGATTTGTTATTAAAAATCATGCCAAACTGATTTCCTTTCTTCCTCTCTCCCTGACTTCCCACCCTCCCTTTTCCTTCTCTTCCTCCTCTTCTTTTTCTTCTTCTTCTGATTTGCGATAGCTTGGAATGTCAAGGTGTCAAAGTACATATCTTAATTTCATTAAAATATTTAGCAAAATTTCCAAGGACCACCCTGGCTGGTTTGGCTCAGTGGTTAGAGTGTTGGCCCATGGTCCAAAGAGTCCTTGGTTTGATTCCCAGTTAAGGGCACGTACCTTGTTTGCAGGTTCCTAGCCCCTGTAGGGGTGCGTGCAGGAGGCAATCAATTGATGTGTCTCTCTCACATAGTGTCTCTCTCACGTAGGTCTCTCTATCTCTCTCTCTCTCTCTCCCCCCTACCCCTCTCCCTCTCCCTCTCCCTCTCTCCCCTTTGTCCCTCACTTTCCACTCTCTCTAAAAATCAATGGGAAAAATATCTTCTGGTGAGGATTAAAAAAAAAATTTCCAAGGACCTCTCATAAATACATAAGACGATAGGTATGATGGATGACTGTACCACCTAAGTGTACAAATATGCTAGAAGGATGTGATGGATCTGCGGTAACCTTGGAAAATGGTTTGGAGTGGAATGCCACAAGGGTTGTTGTGCTCTTGGAGCTGACCTTGTTACCATTTAAGAAAGATATAGCCCTAGCTGGTTTTGCTCAGTAGTTAAAGTGTCAGCCTGCAGACTGAAAGGTCCCGGGTTTGATTCCATTCAAGGGACTCATATGTTGGTTGCAGGCTCGATCCCTGGTTGGGGCATGTGCAGGAGGCTACTAGTTTATGTGTCTCTCTCACATTGATGTTTCTCTCTCTTTGTTTCTCCCCCTCCCTTCCATTCTCTCTAAAAAAATCAATGGAAAAAAATATCCTCGGATGAAGATGAACAACAACAAAGGATATAAAAGAAATCCTTATTAAATTTGTAAATAACTCCAAATTTAAGAGGGTTAATTGATTCAACATGTAAAAGAATCAGGCCTGTTCTGATTAGAATATCTGGTTATTATTTTAAAAATATTTTCATAATTAAAATATTTTGCTCATTTTTGTTTTCCCTTTTCTTCAGGTGAGTTGAAATTTTGAAGCTTTTAGTGTAGTGCTAATGGAAACATAAACATGCCTGTAGGGTTCCTAGTTAGTTAGTTGTTCTATGACTTTGTTCCTATAAGAAATGTAAATATATTAGATCAGGTTGCTTTGGAGCATCAAAAAATAAAGGAAATGTGGGAGCTAAAAAAAATAATAATTTTCCTCCCACCTTCTAGTTTCTTCTACATGGGCTAATAATCAAATCAACAGAGACAAATCAACAGGAGAAAATTAAATTTTAATACATGCTCACAGGGGATTCACATAAGCATGGAAATTCCAAAGACAGTGAAGTAAAATTGGGTGTACTGTGGGTCATTTTTGAACAAAGAAGAAAAGGGGGCCTGAGATTTCAAAGCGAGTAGGCAATTTACAGGTAGTTGAGGAAGAGAGGAACATACTTTTGCTAGGCAACCCAGAAACAGTGAGACACAGGGTGGTCTAGTAAGTAGGCACCTGCTTGGAGTCCTCCTGTCTAATACTAAGGTGATTGTGATAAGGTTCTCTTCCTGAAGCAGGTTTGTTTTTTCCTATTTGAATCTCTTAGGCAGGAAAGGGGGAAGGTCAAAGGTTCTTTCTGAGTCTTTTGTTTCTCTTAATATCCCTGCTTAAAGATCAGTATCACCAAAAGCAAAACTTTTGGTCCCCTTCAGAAATATCACCCCCCCAAAAAAGCGATGAGGAAAGGAATTTTGTCAGAAATTCTCAGGGAGTGATTGTGGAAAATCCCTTTAGCAGTTTCATCTAACTCGTCAGAGGGGCTAGTGCGCTAGCGGAAGGTAGATTTGGAAGAGTCTCAAAAACACTGGGAGAGCTTGTTTAAAAAGGGCACTTGGACAGATTCTGATGCCTTCCTTTGAGGGGGAGGCCATGAACCTCCTTTTTATAAACAAGTGCTCTGACTGATTCTGAGAAATATTGTCAAAGAACTCACTTTGATTTGGATTTTGGCATTTAAATATCTTGTTTTTGTCTCATAGTCAGTCCTCCAATTTGTGTTTTTCAAAGCCCAGATAGATTTAATTATTTGAGCTGAAAACTAAAACTGTTAAATAATGTCAGATCTTTCATATCTTATTCCCTATATTTCAATTAGAAAATTGTACGCTCTTACATTGCCATTTTTCTTTTCGTTTTTAATGTTTTATTTTCTGCAGACCTTGATCTGACTGAGACATGAGGAAAATAAAATTTATGTGTAGCAGAAAAGCAACCTATAGCTGCTCCATTGCTGCTGCTGTGCTGTGGAAAATAAACCAGGATTAGATTATGTCTGGTCACTTTCCACATCACATGACGAACGGCAGTTGAGAAGAAGCATAAAATGAATCCTGCTGAGCAGTCAGTCCTTAGATACCTAGTTGTTAACATCCTGCTTCCTTCCCCTCCCTCCTGTGTATTCCCCATCAGGCTCTGTGACTGAAGTGTCAGCTAAGGAGTGGTTTCTCACCTCTTCACACCATCTGGGAATAAGAAGTTGCAGCTATTTCACACCATCTAGAAGACATGGGCTGTGGTAGTTCATCAATTAAAATCAAGAAATCTGCAAAAAGTGAGTGCTAGGAATGTGCCTGTCTTCCTGATGAAAAAGAGCCAATTACCTGTCCTGCTTTCTCATTTACTCACATAGTTGGTTCTGGAGCTGCCTGCTCTGTGTGATTTTGCACAAGGCATCATCACTTGAACCAAAGGTTAAATATTGGGATAACATCAGAAACTACTGTTAGGAAAATGTAGCTTTGAATTTCTGATATACCATAAAGTATTATCTAAGAGATATTTTATATTTGATTTGATTTCAGTTGGAAATGTACTAATATAAAAGCTCAATTTAAAACTCAGTGGAAGGGAACAAGAAAGTCTCTGTAAACTTATATCTGTTTATTCAATATGCTTATAAATAGCTATATTTATACCTATGTGACATTTGGTAACATCATTGAATCTTTATTAGGTTTTATAACTCAGTGATCAGATTATTTTTTATAGCTATTCAACACAGAACTTTATGAGATTTGCCTCATGTTTTTAGAATATTCTAGGTAGAATTTGGCAAATGCTAGATCATCTGCTTCTCCAAAAGGGTGTTGTTTCTAAATAGTTGACATGCCCCCTACTATTCCTATATAATTAGAAACAATATTTTCTTTATTTTGTACTGAGGTTCTTTCTCATAGGTACTAGAATCTAGTTAAAACTCGAGTGTTTAAGAAACATAGTCTTTACAAAGAAATTAAAATAAAAACAAGCAAGCTGGGACAGTTATGTGAATAATTTGTTCTTAAATTCCATCCTTTTGTTAAGTAGGTATAGATAATCGCCCCAATTTCTCTTCCACATCTGGGTTTGTTTGTTTTTTTAATCTTTATTGTTCAGATTATTACAGTTGTTCCTCTTTTTCCTCCCCCATAGCTCCCCTCCACCCAGTTCCCACCCCTCCCTCTGCCTTTACCCCCCCACTGTCCTTATCTATAGGTGTACGATTTTTGTCCAGTCTCTTCCCGCACCCCCACACCCCTTTCTCCCCGAGAACTGTCAGTCCACTCCCTTTCTATGCCCCTGATTCTATTATATTCACCAGTTTATTGTATTCATCAGATTTTTTATTCACTTGATTTTTAGATTCACTTGTTGATAGATATGTACTTGTTGTTCATAATTTTTATCTTTACCTTTTTCTTCTTCCTCTTCTTAAAGGATACCTTTTAGCATTTCATATAATACTGGTTTGGTGGTGATGAACTCCTTTAGCTTTTTCTTATCTGTGAAGCTCTTTATCTGGCCTTCACTTCTGAATGATAGCTTTGCTGGATAAAGTAGTCTTGATTGTAGGTTCTTGGTATTCATCACTTTGAATATTTCTTGCCACTCCCTTCTGGCCTGCATAGTTTCTGTTGAGAAATCAGCTGACAATCGTATGGGTACTCCCTTGTAGGTAACTAGCTGATTTTCTCTTGCTGCTTTTAAGATTCTCTCTTTGTCTTTTGCTCTTGGCATTTTAATTATGATGTGTCTTGGTGTGGTCCTCTTTGGATTCCTTTTGTTTGGGGTTCTCTGTGCATCCTGAGAGCTTGTAAGTCTATTTCTTTCACCAGGTAGGGGAAGTTTTCT